TCTCTTAACCAATCATAATAGGTGCAAGAGATTGGAAGAATTCAAGAAGTGGAGCAAGAAAGAGAGGAAAGAATTTAAGAAATATATTATATTATGTTGTATACTTTGTATACCCATATATGTTGTAAATGTGTCACTGATGGTATGTGGTGTTAAATAATGATAATGACTTGTGTAATTGGCTATAACAAGGTATAGGAATGGTTAATGCATGAATGGAATGGTATTATGCATGGTAAGATTTAATCATGAGCTGTTAGTGTAAGTTAAGGGGATAAACTATTCTTAATTGAGCAACAAATAGTGGTAAAGTATAAGTGAGGTAAATGAATGATTCTGCCCACAAAAGTTGGTATGGTTAAAGTACACATCTTGAGCTTTAAAACAAGTGATAGATCACTTAAAAGGGATGTGTGTGATAAGAGTTATGCTGGATCAAAATTAGGGCAGAGAAGCTGGAAAATACATTTTTGATCAAATAAATAATAAAGTTTAATGAATAAATTGTGCTAACTGGGTAAGGATAAGTCCAATTTTATATTTTTTTCCTGTAGAGAAGTGAAAGAGCTTTGAGTAGAATTTTGGATCACCTCAATATAATTTTTATAAAATTAGTTATGATTTTTTAAAAATGGACTAAAAATCTGAAAGTTAACTGATGAACAGTAACCCGAGAATCTAATGTAAATTTTCAATCTATGGGTTTGTTTCGTAAATCGCTTGAATTGTAACACTTTCAAACACGTACTCTAAGGGGTTAAAAGAATGATATTTCAGTTAGCCTCCCTCAACAACAAATACGTGAACAACATAGACATACTACCTTCGGTACTTAATATAAGAACAAGGTAACTAATTTGTAAATATTAATAAGATTAGTTAAGTAAATTATTTATAATATATTGGTACTGTCACCAAAAAAAAAGTGTTTTGCAACGGTTATTTTTGTGTGTTTGCAGCGGTTTTTAAAACTCCTACAAATGCGTTTGTAGCAATTTTTAAAACCACTAGTAAAATGGGAGTGGCAAAAGCACTTTGTAGTGGTTATAAAAAACTGCTGCAAATGTAGTCAAACCCGTTGCAAAATTTTGTAGCAGTTGCCAGAAACCGCTATAAACGCATGTCCACAAACCGTTACAAATTTCAGTTAGAGGTGACGGTGAAGTGCTTAATTTGCAACGGTTGTTTTTCGAATATGCAATGGTTCTTGTCGCCAAAATTCACCAAAAATATGAAAATTTGACATTTGCAGTGGTTCTACTTCAATGTTTGCAGCAGTTCCCAAAACAACTGCAAACGCACATTTTTTTTTAAAAAAAATTATTGTCAAATTATTATTTTATTTATCTATTTTGTTACTTATATATGTAATTCCATATTATGATTTATTTATTTAAATATGTTTTTCATAAAAAATTATTAAATATGCGAGAAATAATTTTTAAATATATATATCTATAATTGAGTAATAAATTTTCAGAAGATAGAAGGATGAATATTTGTCTTGTGGTAAGAATCCACAATAGAGATGAAAAAAATAAAAGAATATATAAGTATCATAATAAATATAAACAAGAAATAAAATTAAATAATAAACTTTTTTTTTTTTAATCTCCAGTAAACCAATGGAGCACCAGAGAGGAAGGAATGAGGAGAGGAAAGATGGGGAAGAAGAATGAGAAAGGAAAAGAACAACTGGGAAGTAGGAAAGGGAGTATTTATAATAAGTACATGATATTAGTAGCAGTTTGGGTAGTAGTTCAAAAAATTGTTGCAAAAATCATTTGCAGCAATTTTTTAATAAAATTACTGCAAATATAATATTTTATTAAAAAATATTTTGATTAACTCAATGCCACATTTGCAGCAGTTTTTATTGTAGTAGTTCTTGACAAAACCGCTGCAAATGCTTTTTGCATTTGCAGTGGTTTTGAGAAAACCATTGTAAATGAATTACATTTGCAATGGTTTTGACAACATTGCTACAAATATTTTTTGAAATTTGCAGCGGTTTACTTAGAATTGTTGCAAACGTGTGTCAACTATTTTTTAGTAGCGTTTCTCTTCTCTTGAACCGCTGCAAAATTTTGCAACAACTATTCCTGTCATGTGGTGTGAAGCTTGCGCGTCATAATAATGTTGCGGTTCTAAAAAAACCAGTACTAATGCATAAAAACCCCTACTAATGTTGTCCTTGCGGTCAAACTGTTGCATAGAAGTAGTAGTTTTTGCATAACCACTACAAATGTATAATTTAAAAGCGGATATTTGGAACCACTGCAAAACACTATTTTTTTGTAGTGTGTTTTTTCTAAAATACTCTTGTTAGTCATGTATTTTAGGATGAAAACTTTTTAACCCGTGCAATTATCATGAGGAATGTTTATGAAAAAATAAATAAATATAAAAAACAAAATAGATTAGGGTCTTATATTTAAAATCAAATTGAATCTCTAACTAGTTCTTATAATTCGGACAGGAGTTAGCATTAATTTGGCTTAAAGATATTCTCACCTCATGAGAACGCACTCTCTCTGCAAAAATGGCCTTTTCATTTGCAGCCTCCATTTAAAGCTTCTTGTCCGCCTTCCTCTGAGACATATCCCGACATTATTACTTATAAAAGACCCATCCTATGTGAGAGGTTGTTCATTTTTTTATTTGATTAAATGTTTAGAGCGCGCAGAGTTTTTATTTTTTTCAATAAGTGTTCTTTCTGGTATTTAAAATTGTGTTCTCCTACTTATAGGAGTGAAGCCGCTTATCACGTCAATCAACAGCTTATTGGTGAGATTTTTTTTTGGCTAAAACATAAGTATCCTCTTATTAGAGGCAATCCTATTCGAGACATTGTCGGGCACTAAATGTGGGTACCTCTCCCAGCAAGGATTCGAACTTTGATTCATCACGTTGTGGGAGACTAACCCCTTCTGCTAGACCCAACTCCTGTTGGTATTGGTGAGATATTGTTAATTAAGATAAAATGCCTTTAAATCTAATTCATTGAATAATGTGAGGCCATTCTGCTTCTATTTTTGGGCCAGGCCTCATGATTTACCCATGCTTTCCAAATGTAACATAATGATGACGTCATTTGGGCCTTGTACTTTTGGGCCAGGCCTCAGTGACATGCAAAATCAATATATCAATTTATCAGGCGTCGAGATTTTCTTCTGAACCAACCTTCCGGAGAAGACGGCCATAGTAATAATTAATAAAGAATCGTATTGTCAAATATTTAAGCTAATTAATATTAATACACATAAATAAACTATATATATTTACACAGTACTTCTGGTCTTAATATAAGTAAGACCTAATTGAATAATTTGGAGAGATTAAGAAAGTTAAATAAATTATTTAAATTGTTATAATTATCATTTTTCTTCAAACTAATTTGCTCTCTTATAATATAATCTAATGATATATATAAGCATTTTAAAGAGATCATATAATATAATATATGCTATAACTAAGTAATTTTTAAATTTTTTAAAATTAATCAACAAGACCTTAATTTGAGAATCAGAGTTCATATATTATAAGTAAGCTACTATTGAGTCTTTTTTTTTTTAAAAAAAAAAATCAATCATTGAGTTGAAGTCGTTCGTAAGTAATCTTGCGTTTTCATTTATTCTTTGTCTTCTCTTACGGGTCTTTCTTTGAGAAGGCCACCCATATTTCCATGCTAATTTGATATCAGTTCCACCATAACTCAACTATTAGACCATTAAGGGAAGTTGCGTTGACACACACATATATAACGCTGTCTACATAAGTATGAGATAAAAGTATACATTTGGTTCTTTAATTTTATATAATATTTTAGTTTAATCTCATAACTTTAAAATGTATATTTGTAGTTCTTTAAGTCCAAAATTATTAGTCTTAAATAATAATTTTTTTATAACAATTATAGTTGTTTTCAAAAATTAAACTTAATATGTTAGTATTTGAGAATATTTTATCATCATTAAAGATCTCAATATTCACAAAAAAAAAAGATTTAAGATTAAAGAATTAAAAACATACTTTTCAAAATTAAAGAACTAAATCAAAACATGGTAGAATGTTGAAGAACTAAATTTATATTTTAACCTAAGTTTGAACTTAAGAAAGTTGAATGGGGCTGCTCCGCGTATTAATTATTTTCCATAAAGGTTTTAATTAGGCCAAAATGATGTGTTTTGACGCCTTACGCTAGCTTAATTTGCAAAACTAGCCATCTTATTTTTCCATCTAAAGTGAGATGCGGGCACTTTGAGTGCTTAGAAAGGGAACCAATTAAAGCATCCAAAGAACTTCATGACATTTTAGATTTTACAAGAAAAAACTACCTCATGAATATTTGCTCATTTTCAAAAGTTGCTCATGCTTGGTTTTATTGGTGTTACGTTTGGTTGTATACTGCCTTCCGTTCTAATTATAAAAATTTGTTTGTAGACTATAAATGATATAGCATATGGTTATGGGACAGATCGTATGTGATGGTCCAAGTGCTTGTTTGTTTTGAGGCTATGCTTCGGAATGTCTCTTGGGGTCCTTTGGCAAACAAACAAGTTATTAGAGGTTAAACACACCATGGGAAGCCCAGAAATTAATTAAAAGTCACTCAAATCCGTACGTAAAGCAAGTCGCTGAAAAACAGCACAATTCATCGATCAGATGGGTATGAAAAGCTAGAGAGAGAGAGAGAGCAGAAACAAAGAGAAACAGAAGAAATTAATTAATAGAGGCAAACATGTGTGTACTTGCTCCATTTGCATAGTTGTCCTTGGTCATGTTCTATTTTCTAACAATAGAGACGTGCTGTCTCCTCTAAGTTTCATTAAATATATATTTATATTGGTCACATTTTTCTCGCTGTCCTTTTCATGGACCTTTCCTTCGAAGCATCATGAATCATACCTTTAGATAGAGCTACTCTAAGTAACAAGCGGCTCTGATCACAACACATTGATTCCAATCCTTACATTCCGACGATCTCTGAACAACCAAACATGTCTCAGAAACCTCAACAACCAGTCTTGTCCGGCGCCGTTGATCCTTATGAGTCTCCTTACATTAGAAGGAACCCTGATGGTTCCGTCAACCGTATCATGTCTTTTCCGACCACCGTAGCCACACCAGACGCTGACTCTCCGTCACCCGTTCTCTCCAAAGACATTCTTCTTAATCCTAACCACGCAACCTTCCTCCGAATATTCATCCCTCGCAGAGCAATATCTTCTTCCTCTTCTTCCCCCTCCTCCTCCAATTTGCCTCTAATTGTGTACTTCCATGGAGGTGGCTTTGTTTTGCTTAGTGCTTCTTCCTCTATAAACCATGACTTCTGTTCCGAAATGGCAAACCAAATCCCTGCCGTCGTAGTCTCTGTCCAGTACCGCCTTGCTCCGGAAGCCCGGCTTCCGGCTGCCTATGACGACGCCGTGGAAGCGTTGCGGTGGTTGAAAGCCACCGACGAGAAATGGATACGTGAATTTTCCGACGTCTCTAGATGCTACCTCGTGGGCACTAGTGCGGGTGGCAACATGGCTTATCATGTCGGACTACGTTTAGCAGCAGCCGTTGATGAGTTTGGACCTATGAAGATCAAAGGGGTGATATTGCACCATCCATTTTTCAGTGGGTCCCAGAGGACTGAATCAGAGGTAAGGCTGGCCATCAACCCGACTCTGCCGCTCAGTGGGAGTGATCTAATGTGGGAGCTCGCACTGCCCGAGGGTGCGGACAGAGATCACGAGTATTGCAATCCAACGGTGACTCATGATTGGAGAACTCGGTTTGACGAAATTGGACGATTGGGATGGGAGATATTATTAGCAGCGTGCGATGGAGACCCAATGGTTGATCGACAGATGGAGTTGGTGAAGATGTTGCGAAGCAGAGGAATCAAGACGGTGGAACACGTTGGGGAAGGCCATCATGGAATGGATCTCGTAGATCTAAGCAGAGCTGGCCCACTCTTTAACCTCATGAGAGGCTTCGTATGCCCCTCCTGCGGAGATTTTCAATCATCCAGTAAATTTTAATAGGATTTTTTTTGAGTTTTTACTTCACTTCGGCTATTGGTGTGTATTATTTTTTCTGATATTAATAAAATTGACCTTTTGGCTAAAAAAAATATCATCCAGTAAATTTTACTTTTACTTGGATAAAAAAAGGAATAAAAGAGAGCAAATTTTACTTTTGTTTTTCCCCCTTCAATTCTTGTGACCATACCTACAACACAAAAAATATTGTTAACGATGGCATGCACTAATAAATTGTGTTAGTTTGTCAAGTGGGCAAAAAAGGAAAAAAATTGTTAATCAGGACATGTTGTGTATGAGACTTCACTGAATAAATTTAATTTTTTCTTTTGGAGTTTGTTTGTGGAGTATGATTTTGTTTGACTATTTAATAAATGAAATTTCACATACTACCTCCGGTCTTTCATATAAGAGTTAGTTAACTTATTAAGTAGATTAAAAAAACTAGTTAAGTTAATTATTTGTAATAAATAGGTGTTTTCTTTCCTAAAATCCTTACTAACCAAGTGTATTTGCCAGAAGTATCATCATTATAAGAACTACCTTGAAAAAAAATAGATAAATAATATGAGAGACAAAGTAAATTGGAATTTTATATTTGGACCAAAATAAAAATTAAATAAGATCTTATACTAAGGAACGAAGGTAATATTTACCAACAGGTTAGGTTTAATGAAAAGAATTAATTTCTCACGAATTAAGATTTAAACCGTTAGCATAAGAATGTTAACTTGCTTTTAAATTTGTCATAGTGGCAAACTTGTCGAAGTCGTCAGCACCCCGTTAACTACTCCTTGATATTTTACCACGCTGAACATGTCAAACAAGCTGACTTTTTGCGTACTGGTTGGATAGCCAAGAGTCAAGAAAAAGACAATGTGTTTGGATGGAAAAAAATCCTAGTTTTAAATTTGAATTTAGGAGATTATGGGTTTGTTTGGAATAGTTTATAAATAACTTTTCAATCGTGATCTATAGAATACGAAGTAAGTATGTAAAAGAGGTTTTATCTCGGCATACGTAAAATATGTTTACAAGTAATTTTTATCATTATGCCAAACAAGCCCTATGTGTTTGGGTAGAAACTAAACCGTAATTTTAAATTTGATTTTATGGGACTGTGTGTTTGGGTGGAAATCAAATCATAGTTTTAAAATTGATTTTATGATACACGAAATTAAAATGTTAGAAGAGTTTTGAAAAGGGCTTCTTATATAAACCAAACACCCCTATATCTAAAGGACCAAAACAGGCCAAAAAGTTTAGATTTGAAATATATATTGAAGTCAAATTATTATTATCATTATTTTTAAAATTATTTAATTATATACATTCGATAGTTATTTATTGATAAAGATAAATTTTTATGAGTTTATAATTCCAACTCACAATTCAAGTTTATACTACTATCACAACTTTGTTTTAACTCATGAGTTTGATAATCTTGTATTAAATTCGAGATTATTATTCGTCAGTGATAAGCACCTCATATTTATTTTGTAGTTGAAATTTTAAATATTCAATTTAAATTTCAACTACTTATCTGTTCCCTCTATATAATTATTTCTCTTAATAATTAATTAAAGTTGGTCAAGATAAAGGTATGATTAAATTTAACATCGTCATCTTTGAATTTCTTATAGACTATTATCTTTGACTTTCAAAATGACTATAAATAATACTCCTCTGCTCCTTAATATAAAATCTAATTATTGAGTTGATCTTAGTCCTAATTATAAGACATATTTATTACATTTATCAGTTTTTCCTAAATCATCCCTTTTGATACTCCCTCCACCATAATCAAGTAGGACATTGAGGGAGGATATTAAGAAAGATGATTATAGTATTTTAGGAAAAAGATGTCATATTTCTTATAATTAACTAACTTGTCTAACTTCTTTAATCTAATCAAATTACTTAAATAGGTCTTATATAAAGACCAGCGGAGGAGCAAGTTTTTTTTTTTTTACGTTGAAGGTCACATTTTTCGGTGAACATTTTAGAAGTCCAATTTGAAAAAGAATATAATAATGAGTAGATTCTTATCCAATCACGGAATATTTACGTTTGTGTTTTATTTGTTGATGACATGTTTTATATTATCTTACGTTAAAATATAAACTCGCCAGTTCGCACTTTCAAGATGGTTAAAAACCAAAAGAACAAAAACCCTCTATGATATCGTTTGGACTATAAGGTCCTAACCAATTATATAGGGTTTATAACAGATTTCTTTTAATTAAGTTAGCTTACATTTCATATCAAGTTTTCTTTAATATATTATTTAAAACTATGTTTATTTTGTATATTACAACTCATGATCAATGTCTTTCATTAATTATTCTTACTTACCTTTTTCCATTTCCTCTTCTTTTTGTCTTATAACGTCACATATTGAGTTATTCTTTGTGTGAAACCTCCACTACTATAAAAGATGTCAATTTTCATATGTTTTTTTAAAACAGAGAAAAAAAAGTCACTATACTCATCTGTTATGACAGAACAGATGAATATGTAACATATATTCTTCTATTATGCCTTAACAGATGAATATGCAGATATATACTTGTTTGTTAGGTAACAGATGAAAATTTTTTACTTTAAATTTGAATTTTTAGAACACAGCACCATTTGTTCATCAGATCAGAGCGAACCCTAGCAGCAGCTTCTCTTTTTCTCCTCTTCTCCTTTGCCACAAGCTTCCTCTTCTTCCTCTTCCTCTCTTTTCATGCGACAACTAGCATTCTTTTATCTTCTCCTTCTTGGTCGACGATAGCTCCTCTTCTTTTCTCTTTCTTGGCGATGCAACATCTCAACAACACAATGAACTCCATGGCTAGCTTCTCTTTTTGATGGTGGATAGCTCCTCCTTTCTTCTCGTGTCCTTGACAACACTATCTCCTTCTTTGTCCATGACTTTTACTTTGTAAGAAGCAAGATAAGTTATGTGGTTTAATTTGGTGTTGAATGTTTTGGTTGTGTGAGACTATTATATAGGTGTTGAAAGTGATTGTTTGGGTATTTTGGTGGTGAAAATTTTCTATTTAAATTGATTGTTGGTGAATAATAGCTTTTGGAAAGCAATGATAGTGATTGAGAAAGTATATTAAGATTAAAAGCTTATTAAACTTGTTTAAATATTAATGCACATAAAGTGTTTGTGAAAACATCCAGGAGAGAAATTTTGTTGGAATATGATAGTTAATTAAGTATCCTCAATATTTAATTTCCATGTTAAATTTTAGAAAGGTATGAGATCCTAAAAGTTAAAGTATCTATTTAAATAGGTTAGGATGTGATTAGATTTTCTAGTTTTAAACTTTCTTGTGTTATATGACGGAGTTAAGGTGTTTATTTTTTTTTCCCTTAACTAAGCTAATTTAGATGTTATTGTTGTCATTTGCTTTGACCCTTAAAATTGTGATTTGTATGGAAAGTATAACATGACTTGGTTTTGCTGAATTGTTGTCATTGTTACTTTATTTTGGTTTTGCTTCATACGCTTTAAAATTATATGTTATAGTAAAAACTGACAATATAAATAATTTCACTTTTTTTTTTAAAAAAAAGATACTATATTCGCCTGTTTTGGTCAGAACAGACAAATATGTGCTTGCATATTCGTCTGCTAGAACAGACAAATATGTGCCTTACATATTCGTCCATTAGAATAGACGAATATGTGCCTTGCATATTCGTTTATTAGAAACAAACAAATATATAACTTCTATCTACGTTTCTTTTGTCTACGTTCCTTTTTAAACAAACAAAAAAAGGCTTTCAAAGCGGAGGAAAATGGATTTTTTTTAGTAGTGCTCATAATATAAGAGTCATATACTTAAAGTTTAATAATCATAATTCAAGTATTAATAATGTAGAAACTTACCTTAATTTCGTGATAAATAACTTAGGAAAATCCGTTGGATTTGGTTTGGCTTGGCCAAGGCCATACGTAGGAGCAATTTTTTTCACTTTTAAAATTAAAAATCACTGCTCACCATATACAAGGTAGTAAGAACTGAAAATTTCAAACTCAACGACAAATTATTTAACTTAACTAACCATAATATCTTATTACCAAAATTCCATTATTTACTTGTCTTTGTAACCATATTGTACAAAGTCTTCGTATCCGACTTTTGTGTCATTTCTCTCTCTCTCTCTCTCTATATATATATATATTTATATGCGTACGCACACGATTATTTAGGGATGTGTAAATGTTGACTTTTTTTTTTGGTAGTTTCTATATATCTATGCATTTAAATATTAAACCCCATAAATTACATGTTAGACTATTTTATTCTAATTAATTATTAAATATTAATTTAATACCCCGACTGAACTTTGAATTTTTAATAACTTCCTCTCTGGCGTGCTATCTTTTTCCCAGGTTTGCTCTACGAATGATATCCAACTAAGACATTTCATTATTTTTTCTCTCGCAATTATCAAACCAAAATATCACTTTTTCTCTATTTACATGAGATAGGCAAACATTAATTTGTAGTAATTTGTAAATAACCTATGGAGAGAGATCCGCAAGTTGCTGACTTGTAAATAATTTAATATTTTTTAGTACTAAATGTAAAATTTAAATAACTAATTTATAAATATTTAAAAATTAACTAAAGAAAAAATGACCAAAAAAACCTAGAAATTACATAATCTCAACTAAGGAATTCATATATAAAAATATATTTATTTTCAAGTTAAGTTTAGCTAATACCTATCAGAGTGTAGAAAACAAACTTGATTTAAAATTTAGTAAACTTTACCTTCCCTTTTTGTTATTTTTTCTTAATTAAAAAAATTATTTATAAAAAATGTGTGCTGTTATTACTGACTCCTTAATAAATGCAAAACAAGTTATAAAAAATTTAGAAGAAAGAATAGATTGGGTTGTACAAGGCAAAATAAACTCCTCTTCCTCCTCCACTTTTAAGACGAACTGGAGCATTCAAAGAAGTAGAGGTCAAAAAGTGTTCAAAGAAGTAAGTATCATGTTTTGATAAAAATTAAATCATAATTTTAAAAGTAATTTTTACAGATTTCATCTCACTTTACGTGAAGGTGCGGAAACCAAACACCCCTTAGCTTTCTTCTGAAATCCTTTCCTTCCACGCGTAAATAAGTCGCTTTCAGGGACCTTTCCTTCGGAGCATAAATGGGTCCTTATGATTAAAGTTTCTAGCAAGTGCCTGACCATAAACATCAATTCCAATCTTTCAATTTTCCCGCTTCCCTGTTCTTCTCCATCACCGAACTCTTAGAAGACCCACAAGTATGTCTCAGCAGCTTCAAGAGCAAGTTTTGTGTCCCATTGATCCTTACCAGTATCTTCAGATTACCAGAAACCCAGACGGCTCCATCACCCGTCTCGCCTCTTTTCCGACCATCGTAGCCACGCCGGATGCCGACACTCCATCTCGCGTTCTTTCCAAAGACCTTCCTCTTAACCCCAACAACGCCACCTTCCTCCGACTATACCTCCCTCACAAACTAACCTCTTCTTCTTCTTCTTCCAAATTACCGGTAATCGTGTACTTTCACGGCGGTGGATTTGTATTACTCAGTGCTTCTTCCTCTATAAACCATGACTTCTGTTCCGAAATGGCTACCAAACTCTCTGCCGTTATCGTCTCCGTTGAGTACCGTCTTGCTCCTGAAGCCCGGCTTCCGGCGGCCTACGACGATGCCGTGGAGGCTTTACATTGGTTGAAAGCCACCGATGAGAAATGGATACGTGAATTTTCCGACGTCTCTAGCTGCTACCTCATGGGCACTAGCGCCGGGGGCAACATGGCTTACCACGTAGGATTAAATGTAGCAGCAGCCGTTGATGAATTTGGACCCTTGAAGATCAAAGGGTTGATATTGCACCATCCATATTTTGGTGGGTCCCAGAGGACTGAGTCAGAGGTGAGGCTAGCCAATAACCCGACTCTGCCGCTTAGCGCGAATGATCTGATGTGGGAGCTCGCTCTGCCGCCAGGTGCGGACAGAGATCACGAGTATTGCAATCCGACGGAGATGCATGATTTGAGGACGCGATTTGATGAAATCGGACGGTTGGGATGGGAGGTGATATTAGCGGCATGTGATGGTGATCCAGTGATTGACAGACAGGTGGAGTTGGTAAATATAATGCGAAGTAGAGGAGTGAAAGTGGTGGACCACGTTGGGGCAGGCCATCATGGAATGGATCTCCTTGAGCTAAGCAAAGCTGGCCCACTCTTCAACCTCGTTAAAGATTTCGTACACCCCTCCTGAAATTTGTTTCCATCAGCCAAAATATCTCTAACTATGAGATTTGCATATTTGAAAAGTATTTTTGTGTCATTTTTCCTTTTTAGCTTCCTTCCATTCTGGCGCCCAAAATAGATCAACAGCATATAGTCAATAATGGCACGCCCAGCCTAATATACTGTGTTGTTATTATTTTTATTTTGGGAACAACAGTGAGTTGTGTTAGTCAAGTGAAAAAAAAAAAAAAGAGGTAAAAATTGTGTTAGTAATGGAATATTGTGCATTAGACTGAATTTGATATTACATTTTTGGTTTATTTGAATGTTGTTTCTATCTAAGCGAGTTTTTTTCTTCTATTTTCTAACCCCAGACAAGGGAGAGAAATGTAATATCAGAAGCTTCATTTACAGGTAACAAACTTTTCAGTTAAATTAATTTCCCTCATTTTTTCAGAGAGCGTTTCTATCAGGAAAATTGGAGGGAAATGATCATTTTGTTTCTTTTTCTTTTGAGAGAAAGAATATATGTGGAAGAAACCAAAAGAAGAAGATTTAAGATTTTCTTTGGAATTTATTATTTAAGAGAAATTTTCTATTGACCTTTTCCGAGAGAAGCTTTCTCTCATCTTTTTCTCCTGTGAGATGTGTAAATAAATGTGAGAGAACTCTTGATACAATAATATTTTGAGAAAAATCACTGTGAGGTCTAAAAATAGAGTATAATTACCAAAAAAAGATCTTTTCTGTTGTTATTTTATGCGTACTGTGTAACTTGTTCTTCACTTGTTATATGACTTTTTTGGTAATAATATATTTTTTCTTTGGAACGTAGAGTAATTTTTCCTATTATTTTCATCAATTGATTGTGAGAAAAAAAATTTCCAGAATTTGAAAGTTACGAAAAAGTTTGGCCCTTATATCACTACAAAAAAACTGGACTTCCTAGTCGCCGCTGAAAGATTTTTTACATTTCTTTATCATTTTTGATTTTTTTGTAAAAAGTTTATATTATAATCTTTTATTTGTGTAATTAAGTAACTTTGATAATTATTATTTTTTATGTATTATTGTATTAGAGAGAGACTAAAAAAAAGATAATGTGGTGTTTGAGTGAGAAACGGAGAGAGAAAGGGAGAGGAAGAAAGTCTGAAGTGTGTATAAAACAAATATATACTATAATTAAATGTTTGAGAGACGGAATAAATAATCATTGTGCATGGGAGAGAAATGAGGCGAAGGCATGCATGAGAAAGTATGTAAATTTGAATGGTGGTGTAACATCACCACTTACTAACTAGAAATAACCATGATAAAAAGGACTAAAACTAGTAAACATACCCTATCATGGTTATTTAAGAGCAATCATATCACTAAGGGGCTAACCATGATAGAAAAGCATTTGACCTTAATTAAGGCTATTATGGTTAAAAAAAGAATAACCTATATTTGTAATCATGGCAAACATGGTTATAAAACAATACGCCTCTGAATGATAAATCATAATAGCAGTTTAGATTTAACTATATTAGTCAATACTAGCAACAGCTAAACTTGCAAAAATTGTCATTATCACATCGTGTATCCACAATAATTCAATCACATGCAATCTAAGGGCCTCGGGCCCACTACCAGCACTCTAGTCGAATGTTCAGACAAAATAAACGAAAAATAGAAGGTATAATACGTTCACTAAGTCAAATGACATAAAAATATAAGAAGATAAAATAAGTTCCAAATGAATGCAGTCCTGATGCATGGCAATATACGAAAAGATTGCATAAAATAAGGTCCAAAAGCTCTATACTGTCAGCTATAGCTATTGAGCTTCAGGAGTCTTCCCTCAAGGTCCCGCTAACGTATTGTTTCCTGAAAATGGTAAAGCAACGGGAGTGAGACAACGTCTTAGTAACTAACTCCTTACCTATCACACACCCTAGCATGGGCTACCGAGGTGCAGGTAGAATACACAGAGTTAATAATAGTTGATAAACATTTATTTAACATTTAAACTCACAATAATCATATAAGACAAATATTTCCACCAATCTCATGCAATTGATACATTTCAAAAGAGATAACATACTTGTCATTTATTTAAAAGGTATAAATATCAATGAATATTCCATGTCATATGTAATTCCTGAACCCAAATCCATCCTTATATCCTCCTTATTTTCGCCGACTGGACCCATGGGCTAAGTTCTTTCCATTTGATTGGCAACTTTGACAAGCTTACCACATGAATGATGTGGATCGGCCAAAGACCACAGAGCACTCGGTGGACCATGGGTCCCCGCTTGAAGAACTAGTGAGGTGTCACAGTCCCTCGAAGAACTAGTGGGACAATAATAGCAGCCAACTATAGAACTCCGTATAGAGGCTAATACCACGTGACAAGTATATGAATCTCAATAACTCCAATTATCTCCTTTTCCCACCCAAAATAGATGTACATGGTTCAAAATGACACATTTATACACATAATCAACGGAATTTCATAATAATACATCATAATCATGATTACCAATTTCTTGCAATACACACTATGTTAATCTTTTTTAAAATAGTATCCCACAAGAAAGTTCATACAAAACGTAATATGCTTTTATAGAATTAGTTATAAAGCCGCTCACCAACTTCAGACTAGAGCATGCAACAGATAAAAATTTAGTTACCTAGTCTCCTAGTTAACAGTCAACTACAACCAAAGTCCAACCTAAAAAATGCCACAATAGAGTTTATATCTACAAAAAAAATTAAAATATTATCTCTATAGTATTCGAGTAGGCTACTCACAAATTCTAGCTCTAACTCCTCCTCTAAGAGCTTTAATTTTTACTCAGAATTCTAGTCTAAAAGACATTTCTATAAGGTTTGGAATGAGAACATATATATATGATTAGACTCGATTCCTAAATTTTCCTTACTTAAATATCCTTTAATTATTAGATTATATTATTAGAATAATCAAATTCATAATGTAAATAGACAAACTGTAAATTTATAACTTATATTCCACCTTTGAAGGACTTAGACAAATGGACTTAGTACGAACTAAGTTATTCTCACTACAGATGTTAAACACTTAATCTAGCCGTTGAATTTAATTTCCTATCTATCATGATACTATCCTCCAAATTATAGCTCAATCTAACGGTGAATGAACTTTAAAATGCTAATTTACTATTCAGGACTCTATCTACTAAATCTAAAAGATATAAGTTAAAAATGTACCTCATAACTTGTAACTCGGAGATTAAAATGATGATCCAACCGTTGAAATTAATGATTTGGATGTCCCAAATGGGCTGACCAAATTTCAATCCGATCCAACGGTTAATAAAATCAAAACTAGCACTTTTCTAAGACTACATCAGATATATGCGAAAATTATTTACTCACTTTAAGCTCCACTTACTATCTCTTAAATATAAGCTCCTCAAACTCCTTAACTTTAAAGAGTATTCGATGTGAAACTTCTATACCATAGTATAATTTTCTAGAATATCATCCACACACACACTTACACACAAAAACATTATTAAAATAATAATAATAATTATTTGCCTATATCTAACTTTTTTTTAATTAACTTAATACTAAAATATATTTATTTATAAATTTAATTAAATACTAGATAAAAATAAGGATGTTACGGATGGGGAAAGTAGTGAAGGATAGAGTATGTATGAAAGGTAGATGTATTCAACATGCTTAGAAATGAGACAATAATATATCTATATTGTGTTGCTTCTTTAAAAATGAAGATATGAATATTATCTGTCAAAAATCAAATTGTAGACAGAAGCTGTTTTGCTGGGCCAACTAAGACACTCATACCTCGTGAAACTGATTAGATATTGCCACGAAGAAGATGGAAGCAGAACGTGCAGCAGAGCACACACAACTTGAACAAAGGATGGAGCAATTGATGGAGCAGAGATACAAGCCCAATTCACTGCTTCAATGCAAAATATGCAATTAAATGCTCTTGCAGATATTCCTACTTCTAGCGTCCCTAGTCTTGGTCTCTTTACGTAATTTTTCTTTTTACATTATATAATGTATCTTTTAATTGAATAATTTTATTTTTATTAAAGACATAAAAACACTTTGATGGTTATAAATCTTATTATTTAATATATTGTCTGTTAATTACTTTATTTTTATTAAACCTTATGATCACATTTATTAGGAATATAACTAAACAAAATTTGTATAATTAACATATTAAAATAATTAAACTTTTTTAGCGGCGATGGGTAATTGGCGGTGACAATTATGTTGTCGCTG